CTAGCAAGCAAATACATCAAAATCATAATTAACAAAATCTTTAAACTACAAAAACTTGTGAGGGAAGGATGATAAGAAAGTAAGAGTTTTTCAGGGTTTCAGGTCAAAAATAACTTCTGGAATATGGTCTATGGTCAGCATAAGAAGCCCCATTGTTTATATATCCTCCATAGGTCCAGACTACAGAATAAACTTTTAACAATGACAACTGACATCATATTGTAAATATTATATTTCTCTCACTCACACACAAGGTTTTATGAGACATTTACTAGTTTTAATGTATCCATAGGATTAATACTCATATGGAGTAGAATGCAAAAAGTGCAGAACTAAAGAAGTCAAATGAAAACAAAAGCACACATTTCTTAGGATTTAAAAATATTGCACATAATAAGTTTGCACAGAAATTACTGGCTGTTTGTATAAACAGAATGAGGTATTAGTCAATCTCTAGATAAAGATGAGTGCAAAGAAGAGGAACCACACACGAGATACATAAATTCATAGAAGACCTAGAGCGCCAACGACTAAGAGAAATGTGAAAAGATGTGTAAATAAGCTATGATTTCAACACTACAAAATCATTAGCCAGGGACCAAACACGTAACAATGTCTTGGCAATATTTCAAAAGTTTTCAACTGTCTTTCAGCCTAAATGGCTATAAGCAATACAATCATTTCCCTTACTCCAATTTTACTACAGAAAGGTATGGTTCTGTGGTAAATATTAAACCGTGACTTTCTGAAACTTTCAGTGGAAAGATACTATTATCCTTTGTTGAGTGACTCAATTACAGTTTCATGTACATTTAGCAACCCAAATCAGAGATGCTGCAGAGCATGCAACTTTAAATTAGCAAAGGTTTCACTGCAAAAACCACTGAAGTTCACAAATTTAAATCTACAGTAAGTTTTAAAGTTTAACTTTTAAATACGTATCAGGTGAACTCAATCTTTTCTTGGTAATAAAACTGGCCACGCAAGTAAGCCCAAGGGCAAGTAGAGAAAAAAAGACCAGGCAGAATTATAATATCTTTTGTTTTTTTTTAAAAAGAATGTTTCCTAATCAGGAAAATTAATAATTATCTATTTCTCTAACTGAATGTTGCTGAATTTTCAAAAACCATTTAAATACATTTAATATCTATATCAAGTTAAGTGAAATCATGCACTTGTCAAAATAGTTCACAGAAAACTGTTTTGCATCAAAGATATTGAAGAAGAGTCAACTAGTTGGATTTAGTGAGGACAAACAGTGAACTACTGTCCTGAACAGTCAGTGTATGTAGTAACCATATTTCCTCTTCGTTGTGTGACAGTCCTGCAGTGCTTGTTAGATCCATGGAATCTATTTTCAGTCTGTACTGTGTGCCGATTGGTGGTGTCAAAACCACTAAAAGAAAACATTTTCTCCATATCTTCAAACATGTCATCAAACAGTCCACCTCCAAAAGAAAACTCCTGGAAATGATGTCTTTGTCTACTGGAACCATCCTGGCGTGTCTGGAAGTGATTTTCAAAATGCTTCTTGGACCGAGTGTTTTGGTTTTGACCAAAAAATCCAAAGTCTTTAAATAAGTCATCAAAATTAAAGTTAAATGATTGCTCAAAAGGGCTTCCGTTACCTCTTTGTCCTTTACCATTAGTAAAAGCACTGTGTCCAAGTGTATCATACTCTTTTCGCCTGTTAGCATCTGAGAGTGTTTCATATGCTGAAGGAAATAAAAATATTAGTAACTGAAGGTATTCAAATTTAAATATAACCCAACCTCTTCAAATAAGTGAATTCAATTCTCTATTTTAGGGAAGAATATCATACCATCAATAAAACCAAAACATTATAAACGCAGGAAAAAGGTAAAATGAAAGTTACAGTAGGCAGGGCCTTTGTCTTGTTCACTGTACAGTATCGGCCATTAGCATATGCCTGCCCCCAATAAATATCCAATAAATATTTGTTAAATGAATGCTACCATTAGTTAAAGGTAAGCATATGGGTAACAATTAGTTATTTTTCATATTATTTGGGTAAAACCATTCTTGTATTAAATAACTTAATGGCTCAATATAACTTTAATTAGTTATATTTAGAAGAATTAAGATTTCTCACTTCCTTACTAGTTGAAGTCAATGTTTAACTCCAACTCTCTATTCAATTACCCCCATCCACCATTAATTACCATATGCTCAGTGCAACTTGTTTCAGGGCTAGTCTTAAGCTAAAATTTGTTTCATATTTTTTCTTTAAAGACAAATGTCATTTTTAAACATAGATGAAGAAAAAACCCACATTTCAAAGTCTATTTAAACTTTTTATACTTAATATTTTTATATTTAATCTCCATACTTAGTAAAAACCATGTTTCATAGGTTAGCTTATAAGTTTTGGGAACCTAAAATTCCTTTTAACATGTAAACAATAAGCTACTTCATAAACAATAAAAGAAAAGTAATACATTATCAACATTTTAAGATCTATATGTCAATAAAAATGCATACTACCATTTATCCATCCATCCAGGAATCAAAGTATTTATCATAATAGTCTCAAGAATCTCCCTTTATTTAAATGTAGATCCCTCTCTGCCACCCACCTCCACAGTATCTCCAGATACATACACTTCTTAGCTATCATTCTCCTTTACTAGTTAATATCTGTGAGACCTCAGAGACAGTCATTTACTTACCTTCTGCAATCTCTCTGAATTTTGCTTCAGCATCAGGGCTCTTATTTTTGTCAGGATGGTACTTCATGGCCAACTTGTGAAAAGCTTTCTTGATTTGGCGCTCTGATGCTGATTTTGGCACACCTAAGATATCATAGTAACTTTTGGAGGCCAAAATTAATTCCGTTATCATTAAAATGCAGATTGCAAAGACGAAAACTGACTGGGGAGTAGCCATTTTTAATATCCTAAAAAAGAAAAAAAAAATTATCCATGGAGCTAACGTTAAGATTTTTTAAAAAGAAGCCCAGTGAACTTTTAGGATACAAGCTATACTTCCTGCAGTATTAACATTGTTAAGCATATAGTATCTTGTACTTGTTTCCATGTTATTTCATTTTACAGGCTTTATTACCCCTACATTGGTTGTAATCTTCTTGAAGGCAAATATAATTCAACCAAAGTGGGAAAAAATCTTCTTTGCTTTACCTTTCCACTAATACTCTGGTCATACACAGAGTAGACACAAAAATACTCAATAACGGATTTTTGCCAGTTAATATTGAAGATTCATCATTTGTAAACATTGTAAAAAGGGTGGGAAATCCAAATAATTTTTCAAAGGATGTCAATTTCCCTTTCAAAAATTCATATTCTAAAAGGATTAAAAATAAGAGTATTTAACTTCACAGAAAAAGTACATTACCAAGGTAAACAGCCCAGTAGGTCTGAATTGATAATCTTCCCTTCCTAAGAATGTACCAACTTCAGCCTTCATTTTGGCAAGGTGAGCCAAGTATTGCAAATAGAAAATCTCATCATAATAGTATTGACAATACAGTAGAATGTAATGATTTTTTAATCGTAACATCCCAAATATTTAACAGAAAAATGGATAAATGGGTTTTGTTAAAAACTTGTAATTAACAGAATTTAACATTTCTCCTAAGGCTACCAGAAAAACGAACTGTCATAGTCGTTACTTTGGATAAGCTAGTTATTTTCAAACTTCTCAGTAGTCATTAAAATATCTCTCTAACCTTAAAGAAGTTTTACATTAGAATTCAACTTAGAATTCTGGGTAGTATAGATTTAATGACTTGGGATTCAAAACGAATGTGATCCTGTTTTTTGAACTCTACTACAGGAGTTCTTAATAACCTATGATGACATTACAAGGCTGACGAAAGACAATACGGTTTGTGGAAACTGCCTGCCTTTCTCTCCTGTGGCATTTTCTGAGCGTAATTAGCAGATGGATTCCTCCTTTCCAGAGAGTTACTCATAGTCACGGGCACCGAGGATCAAGTACGACCGTCTAAAGAACGCAGAGGGAGTACTGCGGACGCCACAAAGACTGCAGGTACTTCCCTAGTCAAAGGGTGGGTCTGAAACTGACAGGGAGGCACATATTACTGGTTTAATGAAGGTTACTCCACAGTTTAGTATCTGACACTTTTTTAGGAGACCGACTTTGTATTATACTGACTTCTCCTTCCCAAGAGGGACCCATCGGACAGCAGCCTGGGCCTTACTCCCCAGAGCCGGTGGCCGGTTGGGCTGCACTGTCCATCCCTTACCCCAAGACGACCCCATACGCGTCCAGTCCGTCCAGGCACCGCCCTCGCGGCTGTCCGCGGCCCGGAGGCCAGCCCTGGGAGGAGCTGTCCGACGCCCGAAAAAGCCAGCGGCCAACCCAAAACACAAAACGCCCTATTCTGTGGTTCGGTCATCTCCTTTTTCCTCGTCCCTCAAGAACACCAGGCAGCCTGAAGCGCTTGCGACGACCGTGGCAACCACCGAGAGGTCAGTCTACAAAGACCGGCCGAAGCCCTGGGGACACTCTAAACACCCCTCCCCGCGACCTCCCGGCCTCTCCCCACATCCTCACCCTCCGACTGCTGCTGCTCAACAGAGCAGAGGCGCCGGGAGACTGACGACCGGCTCCACACAGCTGCTCGGCCCGGCCCTTCGCCCAGGTCTCCACGGCCTCCCCTAGCCGGCGGGCGCCCCACTGCCGGTTGCACACCGACCTAACGCTGCGCCAGCCGCCGCGACCCCTCTCAGCCCGCTCCCCACTGGCCGGCGGCCGCTGCTAGCGCCGCCACCTCAGAAGACCTACACGAAACGCTTCCCTATTGGCTCCCGCTTCCCCACCTGACCCTGGCGCCCTACGCGCACGTGGAAAACTGTTGTTGCCGCTCAGCCTGTGCGTCACTTCCGGCCCCAACCTCCCGAAAGGGCCGTGCTGAAGCCTGAAGAAGCGGAAGTGAGTCGACTTTTGCAGCGTCTTTCCTCTCGGCCTATTCCGGCGCAGGCGCGGTGGCCTCGGACGGCCTGGACTTGCGGCACCACCTTGGCAAGGAGGTTCCGCCAGCGCCCCTCGTCGGCCTGGGCCTTCTGGGCCGCACCCGAGCGATGCCTCGCTATTGCGCAGCGATTTGCTGTAAGAACCGTCGGGGACGAAACAGTAAGGACCGGAAGCTGAGTTTTTATCCGTAAGTTGTCCTTCGAGCAGAAGCGTCAGACGCCTTGTCTTTGGGCCACTGTCCTGTGGCCGTTGTAGCCACGGTTTGGGGTTATCTGGAAATTCGTCCTCGGCTCTCCGGGCGTGGCTCTTCGCTGCGCGGGAGAAGGATGTTAAGGGTCGAGTTGAGTTTACCTAGAAATGCCCTGGACTAGGACACTGGGCTGGTGGCGAGGCATATAGGGGCCTTTTTGGGTGTTAAATAGCCCCCTAAAACAGTAGAGTTTGGGCGGTGCTCCGTGGATTTCCGAGCGTTTCCCCACCTCACCTGATCTCATTTTATTGTACGACGTTAACCACCACTTAAGGCACACATCAAACCCGCCGAGTGGGACGTTGCATTCACAGTTAATTTACACCTTCTGTGAGTTAGGTTGCATAAATGTTCTTAAGTCCGTCTTCTCCCGACGAAACTAAGGCCCTTCAGAAAGTAGGTTACCTTGAAAGTTCTGTGACAAAGCCAGGATTACAACCTGTGCCCTGCTCAGGGCTCTGTAGACTTTTTATTTGTACAGACAACAGGCTAAGTGTTGTTCCAAACTACTGCTGCCACGAAATATTTCCGTGAACCCACAGAAGTGTTCATTTTTATTCAGAAGAAGAGGGAAGCAGTAGTAACTCGGAGTCCAAGCTCCAAAGCCAGACTTAGTAGGTTCACAACCTGGCTCCACTACTCTGTAGCTGAATGACCTTCTGCAAAGTTTGAACTCTCTGTGCCTGAGATCTCTCACCCGTGGAGTTATTAATTGTACCTACTTCACACTTTGTGTGTAAATAGGTAAAGCTGCACTTGACAGTCAATACGTGCTTAATATATGTGAGAATCAACATATTTGCAATATTCTGTTTCCTTTTTTTCTTGTTTGTAAAAATAATTCATTTAGCTCTAACCTGGTCGTCTTTTACTCTTGTAGATTTTCACCAGCTATTTTTTGAAGCCTGTTTTACTTTAAACCAGAAACTCTGTGTTCGTGGATACAGTTGCTTTCCATGATCTTAACTAATGGGAAAAAAAAAACCAAAAACAAAAAACCTGGTAACCCAAAATAACTTACATATGGCAATATTTCCAGGATTGTCTCCCACCCATAGCCCACAAGATGCAGAGTGACTTTTGAGAGGAATTGTTAGTTATCAATAGCTGTGGCTCTGAGAAGGTTTATAGCAAAAAATCATGTTAAACTTGATTTAGCCTCATATTTCCCAGATTTATTTGGCCTTGGATTTAGGGGGAATAATGCCAGACTCCAAATTCTTTTAAGTTAATCTTTCCATAGTTACTGTTTTTAAGGAGGGAAAAATAATAATGCCAGAGGAGGTCAATTGTAAAGATTTTTTTCCTCCAATTATGAATTTACTGAAAGTGGGTTTTTTATGTTTTTTATTTCCATATGTAGTCTGAAAAATAAAAATTGAATTAGTTTTAGTCCCCTAATAGCACCAAACTTGAAGAATTGAATTTGTTAATGCTAACACTGTAATAAGCTCTACTGTATACTAATTTGATAATTCAGTTTACATATGTATATAATATTCAGTTTATACTGTGATTATTTTATACTTTTGGGGGGATTAATACGGCATTGAAACAAAATTACTGAGCAAATTGAACCACACTGTAAAGATATGAAGTTGTTCAGGAAACCTATTCCAGGAGATTTCTTAGAGATTTACCTGCTGAGGAAGTATTGCAGTCCAGTTACTAATGAGGATATGCACAAACTGATTTTTTTTTAATTATTTATCTATTTATTTTTTAGTTTGGTAACTTAGTATAGGTACAATAGAAATAATCTGCAAACAGCGTGCTTATACATAAAATGACATTTAAAAATATTGTAAAAGGCATATTCCCTTTTTAGATGTAGCAGAAAAAGTATGAACTTACTTATGGCTAACAGAATTTAGGTCTTCTGAAAAGAAAATTATTTTTGCCTTTAAATGTCTTTTCTGGTTATGTGTGTTATACTTACAACCTAAATTACTGATACATGCAAGGTTAAAAGTTTTTCAAACCATGTATGAATAGTGTATCTATGGTAAGAACTTACAAAGGTAGATCATCTGATTATTCCATATAAGGGTATCTGGGTTAAAAATTATTTCCTACAAAGTACCCAGACTCCTTTTCCTTAGCATCTTCTAAAAAATTTTTTATTTTAATGTTTATTTTTGAGACAGAGACAGAACATGAGTGGGGGAGGGGCAGAGAGAGGGAGACACAGAATCCAAAGCAGGCTCCAGGTTCTGAGGTGTCAGCACAGAGCCCGACGCCAGGCTCGAACTCATCAACTGCAAGATCGTGACCTGAGCCGAAGTCGGATGCTCAACCGACTGAGCCACCAGGCACCCCTCCTTAGCATCTTATAAAGTTATCAATATTTGCAGGGGTGCGGGGGGAGGCATGCTATTACAAAGCATAACCTAAATGGTTGGTATTGAGAGGGAATGTATAATTGCTGCTTTCTATATAAGAAACCTTATGTCGTTACTATTTTTTAAAAATAAGAATTTAGACTTCTCATAAAATCATTGAAATATGAATTACTGTTAACTCTTGTTTAATGGAGTTTAACTGAAACCTATTTAGATTGGTAGGAAAAGTTTTCTCTCAGATTCTGTCATTAGCCTAATTTTGCCTATAACACACATTTCATTATGTTAGCACCAACTCTAAATAGAGGTTATTTTCAGCCCAGGAACAGCACAAAAAGAACTGTCTTACTTTTCTCTGTCTTTTCTCTTTGATTTCAATTTCATGTTATAAAATATGAGTCTGTTCTTTACAACATTTTTAGTTCTTGTGTCAGTTTTCTTTCATAATTTGAATTTTAGGGTTCTCAGTTTATTGATCATATAAGTTTAGAAATAGTAGACTAAATTATGTATGGATAGATTTGAGGCTGATTCTGGTAAAGGGCATGGAATATTAGTACTTTTATCAAATATAGTATTCATTGTCAACTAAATCACTTACTTGAACTAACTTTTAAAAAAAATATTAATAAGGGCCTAAAGTTTAATACTTCCTTGAAATATAGAAAAGACACCATTTGACTTATTAGTATATAGTATAAGTATAGAATACATTTGAATAGGACTTTGTAGTTTATGCCAAGCTCTTTCCCAGTTCTAGGCAAAATATACAACAAAATAAAAATATAATATAATCCACAGAAAATATGAGTAGCTTTTATCCTTTGTTGGAACACACATATTTTACTTGAAGAGACTCTGAGTTCTGTTTTACCAGCCAGTCTTCTCAAAAGCTTTGGCTACATGTCTTAGAGCTTACTCATCTTTCCTCGAGAGGGGATGTAGTAATTATCACAAAGATGCTCTTGCATGGTAGGGACTGTTGCCTTGCTTTTGCAGCACTCAGTGCATAGGTTACCCTATGTATGCAGTCCTGGAACTTGGCAAAATTGTAAAAATATAGCAAAGTTTTCCTTTTTTAATTTCAGGTTTCCTCTACATGACAAAGAAAGACTTGAAAAATGGTTAAAGAATATGAAACGTGATTCATGGGTTCCCAGTAAATACCAGTTCCTGTGTAGTGACCATTTTACTCCTGACTCTCTTGACATCAGATGGGGTATTCGATATTTGAAACAAACTGCAATTCCAACAATATTTTCTTTGCCTGAAGATAATCAGGTATTGGAGGCAGAGCATAGGGGAGAGGGGGATAATGCAGGGTGGTAGGTTGCAGGGTCGCAGGTAATGAGGTTAAGGGAGGGAGAGGGAAAGATAACTGCTGGGGAAACAGATGCTTGAGAAAAAGGAAGAACTAATTTATGCTTTTACTAAAAGTATGATAATTAAAAAAATTAAACCATTGTGAAGCATACCTTAAGAACCAAAGATAACATGTGCATAAATCATTAAGTTATTGACATAAGATAGTGATCTAAGATTTTGTTACTGGTCTTTGAGTGATCTGAAATATTTCCATCATATATTGAATGTGCTTAATACTTTATAAAAAACACTTTGAAGTAATTTGAGTTGTTATATGCTTAGAACTTTTTTTAACTGCATAAATTTGCTTGGCCAATTTATAATTAAATATTCAGCACTGACTAATAAGAGAATAAGGTTAGTGAGGACATCTTTAGAATTTGAAAATATTATTTTCTAGGAAAAAGACCCTTCCAAAAAAATATCTCAGAAGAAAAAATTAGATGATGAGAAAGAAGTATGCCTAAAAGCCAAGTCACAAGAATCATTTGCATCAAATGAGCTAAAGAAAAATACAGTTAATACAGACATTCTCCCTGAACACACAGAATTACTTAATTCTTCTACCTTGGTGAAGCCACCAGCTGCAAAAACAGAAGGTATACAAAATAACATATTAACTCTTAATCTGATTAAACAAGATATTGGAAAACCAGCATCTACCTTGGAAACATCAGTTACCCAAAACATAGGTGGTTTTCACACATCTTTTGAGAATCTCAATTCTACAACTATTACTTTGACAACTTCAAATTCAGAAGATATTCAACCATCTTTGGAAACCCAAGAAGTACTCGAAATCACTACGAATCATCTTGCTAATGCAAACTTTACAAATAATTCTGTGGAAATAAAGTCAGCACAGGAAAGTCCATTCTTATTCAGCACAATTACTCAGACAGTTGAAGAATTAAATGCAAATAAAGAATCTGTTATTGCCATTTTTGTACCCACAGAAAATTCCAAACCTACGATTGATTCTTTTGTACCTGCTCAAAAAGAAACTGTGGAAATGGAAGATCTAGACGCTGAAGACTCCTTATATAAGGATGTAGACTATGAGACAGAAGTTTTACAAATTGAACATTCTTACTGCAGACAAGATATAAATAAGGAACATCTCTGGCAGAAAGTCTCTAAACTACATTCAAAAATAACTCTTCTTGAGCTACAAGAACAACAGACTCTTGGAAGATTGAAGTCTTTGGAAGCTCTTATAAGGCAGCTAAAACAAGAAAACTGGCTCTCTGAAGAAAATGTCAAGATTATAGAAAACCACTTCACAACATATGAAGTTACTATGATATAGAGTGTTAAGAGGTTTTAAAGCTGTGACTTTTATATAAGCTTTTTGCAGCCAAACCAAATTATATGTAAAGTGAACTTTTTCCTGTATAAAGTTCTCATCTTAATGAAGCTAAGCGTTCTAATATTTTGAACTGTATCTTGTTCTTATAATATTCATTTTTGGGAAAAACTAGAGAGTTGTTGGGCTGTAGAGAAAAAGTTTCACTATTTGGTAATCTTCTAAATTAAAGTTAAAATAGAGTGAATAAATAATATGGTAATATGATTCATAAAATGGGAGAGCATGGATATGGTGAAAGGGATCCAGAAGAGAAATAGACTCAGGTATCAGTCCTGGTTCTACCATTAGCTTATGACTTGGGCAAGTTACTATTGAATCTCAGTCTGTAATCTGTAAAATAAGGGCACTTCCTAAATCTAGTCTGTTTATAGTTCTTTTCCTTTCTATTCAGGTACTTCTAATAGAACAGATTTTCTATAAGGTAATAAATACGTAATAATAGATATTGGCTAGCATTTGATGTTATTAACTATTGGATTATCCTCAAAATTCTGTGGTGTGTGACATTTTGACTATATAGTAATCTGTAGTAACAAAGGAAGGTACTCTTTTTATAATTTTATCCACTTGAACTAAAATAGCCATCCTTTAGCCAGTTCATAGAAGAGGTACATTAAACTTGAAAGAACATGTATTTCAGTACCGTATATGTAGCTGACCATCATAATACAGAGTCACTTAATCTTAACATTCTGTATTTAAGGTTATAATTTGCAAACCAAAGTTTTAATGAGGTTAATTTTTAAAAATCTATATATTACTTTATTTTAGAAATCATACCTTTTATCTGTTTAATGTGTAACTTTTAAAAGTGTGCTTTTGTCATTTTTAAATTCCAGAATGATAGAGTAGTACTTAATATTCTACATGCCCACTTACATATATTTTATTAAAATACATAAGAAATTATAGATATTTGGTGATGTTCTTACGCAAGTAGGAGAGAAATGGTGATATAAATAAAAATACTGCTTATATCCATATGAATTTTTTAAAATGTGAAAGCAAAGACTTAATGGGAACAACAGAAATGTGAAAACAAAAAAGATCTTGTAAAATTGTCACTTCATATAATTAAAATATGTTACTGATGGTGGTATTGAGCAAGTTCTGATCAGTGTGATTCATATTTTTTCATCTTTTTTTTAAATAAAAAATACTATTATCTTCAAGAAAGATTTTGAGAATTCTTGAGGTAGCATGTTTTTGGTCCTCGAAGATAGGAGGTGCTCAATAAATATTAGTTGACTGCACAGCAAATAGTATACTAATTGTTTTGTAAATTCACGGTGATTGTTTTTGGCCACATTTTAGTTTTTTTAAGCTGATAAAGTTAATTGGTATTATATAAATATGTGTCTGCTAAATACAAAAAGTTGATTTAGACATGTCCTTATGTGATCATGGGAGAAAAAAAGAAAAAACTTTAAATTTTTTCATAAATTGTGTGCAGATAATTGGTAGATTTAATATTGTTACCTTTAAGTATTCTTATATTTCATTTTTACAGTACTTTAATAAAAATAGTATAGATGTAAATAACCTTGATAAGTCATTATGAAGTAATGTTTCAACTCTGTTTTTAACTGTGTATATTGTAGTTATTTTCCATTTGTTTGAAGTTGTAGTTTACTCAGGAATAATTTAAACTCATTGTATTTCTTTAAATTTAATAAATTATAAATATTTAAGATATTTTCTTGGCCTGCCTATATTCAATTCGGGATGTTTCCAACCTGTTAACTTCTAAATATATTTGGGGATTCTGATGAATTTTATTTCTTACTTGCATTATTATAGCAATCTCTTAGCTAATCTTGCCATATTTTTAATCCCTTCCATATCATTGTGGATTCTGTCAGCTTTTTACTTCAACTATAGATCTAACTATAGCATCCACCCACTACTTAACTTTCCCAACTCAGAAATCTGAAATTACTCTTGAATACCTACAGAATAAAACCAAACTTGTTACTATATGTGATCCTATGTGATTGGCTTCATCATGTGTTCTAGCTGCACTACTTATTTAGCATTTTCCAAATATAGAGGTGACTTTCTTCCTGAAATTTAACCAGTCAAAATTGCAGTTTGATTGAATTCCATCTCCTTTTTTCCATTCAAAATTGTTTTCTCTCTGCTCCTACAGGGCTTCATTTTATAACACCATAACAGCGTTTGCTGTATGCTTTTTTACTTCATGATATTTATGGCTGTTTTTTGACCAGATTGCAAGCTTTATAAAGCAGAATTTTCATTAATCACTTGTTTCTTTGACAGTGTAATATTCACTCAATAAATGTTTGGATGAACATTTTGAATTTGCCTACTTGATTCTTGTCACTTAAAATCAAGAACCTTCTTAACAGAATGGGTCCTTGATACCTTAGAATGTTTAGGGAAAGTTATAGATCTTTACATAATCGTTGAAACATTCTATGTCTCCAGTGGACAATACAGTTTACCAATTATCTGCTATGCCATCTCTGAATTTTGTGTGTGTGTGTGTGTGTGTGTGTGTGTGTGTGTGTGTGTGGTAGACTATCCCCACTCAAATATTTTCTGTTTTCTATCCTATATAATTAAAAAGGAAGTAAGTCCAAGTATGGCTATGGAATATATCTCATTCTATATTCTTTCCTACACTGTGACCTTACCACTCTCTTATCAAGAGGTGAAATTTATTTCTCTACCTTTCTTAATCTGGTGGGCTGTGTGAATGCTTTGACCAATAGAATACAGTGAAAGGGATGTAGCCAGTTCCAAACTTAGTCCTTAATTGGGTTGGCAGCTTTTACTTATTTGGAACAGTATCTCTTCGAATGCTAGATGCCCTCTAAAATGTGTGATTACCCTGATACCATACTGGAAAAGCCAAAGCCACATGGAGAGGCTCTAGAAAATGTGAAGAACCCAAAAAGCAACTCAGTTTGTATCACAGAGTCCTGAAAGACAGTAATTGGAGTCAACAGGTATCTCTGGAATTGGAGGACGAGGTGTGAAGACATGTTTTTTTAAAAGAATAGAATGGATATTAACAAGCAGTAGTCCTCACACAGCTTGGCAGGTGTCCCTTTCCTAAACTCAAAGGTTTGCAAGTTTATTCTCTGGAGAGGACAAAACAAATTCTTCAGAAAAGATCATGGGTATCCCTATACCATACTGAAAAAGAGGTATTAAGTGAAAGTTTATAGTGAAAGTTTGTATCATTAAGTGAAAGCTGAATAGTGAGCTCCAACCTAGCCTCTATCATATATTCAGTTCCCAGAACTGTGGCAACCAAACTTACACCCTTTAGTTTTCTCTTGGGAATTTGACAAACTCATGATGATGAAACAAGATTTCACATTGAGAGTTCCAGCTGGGTCCAGCTAAGTCACTCTTCAGTAGTGATTCTTAACCCTTAACTGCATCAAAATCACTCAAGAGGTTTTAAAATGTTTCATTACTCAATCTGATTCAGTTAGGTATAAAACCTGAGTATCTGTGGTTTAAAATTTTTCCCAGGTGATTCTCCTATACAGAAAAGTTGAGAATCCTTGCTCTACAGTAAAGCTTATGGACATGGCTCATCCCCGAGTAAAGAGTTTCTCATCAGTGTCCTGCTGACAGTTGACAGTCAATTGTATTGGAGATAGCAACCAAAATAAGTACAAAACAGCAATTTAGAGAAAATACTGTTAAGTAGAAGAAGAGTTAGGGGAAAGAACCAAACTATACTTAATACTCTTACTAAAAAGAGATGTATATTGTATACCTGAAAACAAAAACAATACATTTTTATTTATTTAAAAAATTTTTTAATGTTTATTTCTGAGAGAGACAGAGACAGAATGCGAGTGGGTTGGGAAAGAGAGGGAGACAAATCTGAAACAGGCTCCAGGCTTTGAGCTGTCAGCACAGAGCCCGACACGGGGCTCCAACTCAGCAGCTGTGAGATCATGACCTGAGCTGAAGTCGGACACTCAACTGAGTGAGCCACCCGGGCGCCCCAACAATACATCTTTAAAAAGGAGTATTAAAAAGAGCCCTAGTAATTTAGTGTGATATTAGGGACACACCGAGGCACATTATTTTTAAAAATCAAAACTTTAGACACAAAAAGAGGATCTTATTTCATCAAGAAAAAATCCACAAAGGGTCAAGAATAGGACAGCTTCAAACCTCTGAATGGCTACACTGGAAGCAAGACAAGAGATCAATGATTTGAAAATTATGAGAAAAAGATTTCCAAGATCAAATCCTGTATCCAAAGTCTCAAAATATTGCATCCTCTCTTTTCTAAGGCAGCTATTGGAAAATGCATCCTAGGGAAACAAGGCTGTAAAAGAAAATTAAGAGAATGGCCTGTCTTATAAAATTATACCTGTGATGATATTTTATCATTCAATTGATCCCGAGATTAGAAATAGGAAAAAGGAAATTCAAACTGAGAAAGAAGCAGAGAGAATCCCAAGTTGGTAGTTAAGGGAGGTCCCAATTTAATAGCCTGACCACCAGTCCAAATTAGAATAGGGCAGAAGGCTCAGGGAGTTCTTCAAGAAGATAAAAATTGATAGAATAACTGACTGGGGTAGAATTTAGAGTTGAATGAATAGTAAATACAGAGAAAACTATGCAAACAAATCGGAACAAATACACAAAATATGTAGAATGGTCAAGCCGTTATTTCTTAGTACATACTAAGATACATAATTAAAATAATGTAGTTAAAAAATACATAGTTAGGGGCGCCTGGGTGGCGCAGTCGGTTAAACGTCCGACTTCAGCCAGGTCACGATCTCGCGGTCCGGGAGTTCGAGCCCCGCGTCAGGTTCTGGGCTGATGGCTCAGAGCCTGGAGCCTGTTTCCGATTCTGTGTCTCCCTCTCTCTCTGCCGCTCCCCCGTTCATGCTCTGTCCTCTCTGTCCCAAAAATAAATAAACGTTGGGAAAAAAATT